TAATGCGGTAAACAGGAACATAATTCATATAATATTAATAATGTTTGTCTAATTGATCTCATAATCGAATAGGATCGAAGCTACTTAGGTATTGGTGTTATAATAGTCGATAATAAGTTGGAACCCAAATCAATAGGATTAGACGTTTTAGCTTATTTTGATAATAACTTATTTTCCTTATTTTCTTAATCGAAACCTAAACCTAAACAACCTCCCCTCGAATAGATGTTAGTAGGTTAATTATAATTCAAGAGTCCTTGAGATACGATATTCGAGGTGTCGCTTCTATTTACTGCATTTTGTCTTTAACTCGTTTTGATCCGTGTGCGACAGCGGATCATTAGGATTCATGGCCAAAGGTTAAAGATCTAAGGTTTTGCGTTGATGTTCATCAAGTTCACGATGAACATGATGAACATTAGTTGAAGGTGTGATGGCCCTAGGGTGGTTCTAAGGTTGAGGCAATTTCACATAAGGGTTTGAGGGCGGAACCACCGACGGAGGCGATTTTCGGTCGATGGCATTTTTAGAGAGAGAGAGAGAGAGAGAGAGAGAGAGAGAGATGAGAAATGAAGAATATCTAAAGAGGTTGAGTTTTTACACTTTCTTTGTCTCCCTTTTGATGAGCCACACGTGGCCTCACTGATAGCCATTGGATCAACCTACTTTGACCATTCACCCATACACGTGCATACCATAACTACCCTGCTCCCTCAATCCAAGTCTTTGGTTCAGTTGACCCCCTGATGGTCAATTGATCCAACGCCCCTAGATTAATCTTTGACTGGTCTTTGTATGTTGTTCAAAGGGTCACACTTTTTTCTCCTTTTCTTTTATTTATTTTTATTTCTTATTTTTCTTGACTTTCTAATGGGCTAGTGAGCATTAGACCCTTAATTTTTTATTTTCTACACTCTTCCATTTCTTTTGGCACCCATCCTTCCAATTCTCATTATTTTACTTTTTTTTTTTTAATTTTGTTGTAGTTTATTTTTTTTATCTTTTATCTAATTTTTACTTAGAATATTAATTAGGGACTTATGTCATTAATATGTCCCTAATTCTTAAAAATCAAAAATATTTATTTTAACTTAATCTCAATAGAATTTTTAAAATGATACAAAAATACGTCTTTTGATTCATTTAATCCAAAAATACCAAAATATAAAATTTTTCATTTGTAAATAATCCACATCCTGTACATAATCAACTTTTTTTACAATCAAATAATTCCAGACTTTTTGCAAATAAATTAGATGAGTTGGTGAACATCTACAATGTCTTCGAGTAATTGAATGGTTGGCGTGTGCCGCATCTATCGGTTATTCAAATTCAAATAAAATTAAATCAACGTGAACACATCAAATATATTTTGTGCCCTTGCGGACTTAATTCAACTTTTTTTCATAAAAAGAATAGTTTTAGTCATTTCGACGCGAAATACAAACAAGCGTTTCCGCCTCCATAGTGCAAGCTTACAAGCCAATGTTTAACCTCAAGAACGTAACTTAAACCCTATTCTACAAAATCAACCAACACATAATTTTTTTATATCGAACTACTATGCTCTAATTTTTTCATTGCACGATGTGAATACGTAGGCACAGGGTTTGAAACATTGGCGAACACTAATAAAAAGTTAACTTTTTTTCCCTTTTGTAAATATTTTAATAAATAGAATAAATAATCGCAAACATTTCCTTAACAAACCTTTAACCCTAAAACTATAGGAGGTTCCTGTTGAGTACAACATATGTAAGGGGTACTAATACCTTTCCCTCACATAATCGACTCTTGAACCCATATTTGTTTGCGATGACCATCTTATGCTTCTTTCACTTAGAATTTTATTGTTATTTCCCCTTTCCTTAAGAATAAAAAAAAGTTATGTGGCGACTCTATTAGTCATCGGCGAGCGTGGGATGCAATTGTGAGGTCGTATTTTTCGAGATGCGACACATATATGACGTTGGAGAAGAAATATCTCTCACACGTCTGTAAATGAAGAGCTTTGATTGAATTATGTTGTCGGTCTTGTTGGACCTTTTATTTAGATAAATTTCTCAAATCTAATATATGTTCTATGATATTCTAAAATTTAAAAATATATTGATAATAATTATTCAATTGATTCTATATCATAAAGAAAATCTCTTAAGAAATATATGATATTTTTGTATATTTCCCTTTATCCTATTTTTTTTTCCTCTTTAGAGTCCTTCCTTTCCTTCCTTCAAATTCGTAAAATGTCTTAAACTTTGTTTGAGAGTTTAGAGGAATAATGACGAGAAGACTTTGAAAAAAAATAAAGATAAAGTGAAGAAATTAAAAGATTTAAATTAAAATGGTTTTGTATGATTTAATTTTATTTATAATACGAAAATTCAATGGTTTGAAAGAACTTAAAACCTGTATTAGATGAGGGTTTGGAGGATTTCAAAAGGTTAATATTAATTCTTCAATTATAATTATGTTCTTATAATATTCTTAAAAAGAAAAATTTATTAATGATTAACATGCATTTATCATTCAATACATAGTCATTATTTCAAAAATTATTAAAATATTTTCTACTTTTTCTTCAAATTTTCTTCTCTCGAAGCCCTTAATTCTCCTTAACTCGCAAACAAAGCCTAAAGAGTCGTTCAATTTGGTTATGAGTTTTTAATTTTAAAAGTCAATGTTCATTGTGAAAAATTAAAAGAACAATTGAACATGTTTTGTAGAACTATTTAGAGTTTAAAGACACTAAAAAATTTGATATGTGGTAACAAAAAATCATGATAACAAAAATAAATTGCCTCAACCAACACAACAAGAACTTCATCTGAGCTGGTGACATAACACAGAGGAAGTTGGTCACTGTGGTTTGGAAGAAAATTTGTATGCATTATTGTGAGTGAGGGCTAGGGCTTAGATCTTTGACTGCTTTAAATGAGGCATAAAAATGTTGCTTTCCTAGAAGCTTATGCATTCAGATGAGGATTGGGCTTGGATTCTCAAAAGCATGATCATTAGATCAAACAGATGCATCAACCATCATATCCACTCTTATTTATGGAGCAACATCAAATTTGAATTCCTTGTGGTGCAAGAAAACTCTAGCCTAGTGATTGAGTCTGATTCAAAGATCAACTTTTGGAAAGATAGATGGCTTGGTTCACAAGCTATGATCAAATGTTTGCCATTCCACCTCAATTGAAACACCTTATCAATGATAAGGTTGGTAAGTACTTGGTAAACAGGGAGTGGTTTTTTCCTTAAGAAACCCTTCATTTCTTCCATGTCATGCTTAACAGGGACTTGGTTTGCTGAGAGGCTTGGTGTTCATTGGCAAATCAATTCAATCTTGGACCTGTAGAAAGTTTGTGGCCATCAGAGATCCCCACAATGTCTTCTTATCTTTAAATTAGCCATTGCCAACATGGTAGACACCATCTGATATGTTGGAAATCTGGCCAAATTCAATAACAAGAGAAATCTGACCAAAATCAAAATTAACAATCATCCTCCAATGACGCCATCCACCAAAGAGGTCATATGACATCCTATCATCCCGGATTACATTAAATGCAACACAGATGGTGCTTCAACCTTAACCATTGAGGCCTATGGGGGTGTCTTTAGAAACACAAATGCATATTTTGGATGCTTTTGTTGAACCTGTAGGCCATTAAACTGCCTTCTTTGTAGAGGTTTTTGGAGCCCTTAATGCAATTGGGCTTGCTCATCATCTTCATGTCTGCAATATTTAGCTTGAGATTGATTTGTCTCTTGTGGTTTCGGCTTTCAAGAGCCACACAATCATACCTTAGAGCTTAGAGTGTGTTTGGATGAGGTAATTGAGAATTTTTAAGAAATTCAAAATTCTAAACAATTCAAATGATTCAATTGAAATCCATTCATTTTTAAATTCTTTTGTTTGGATGGAGTAATAAAATGATTAATTGTTAAATTTGTAGAGTCATTTTCATAAATTTTGAGCCAAATTTAAAGTATGAAAAATAGGGACTAATTTGCAATTTTTGAAAGAGACTAACTTGTAAAATTTTGAAAAGTTTTAGGAACTTATTTGCAAGTTTTAGAAAATTATAGGAGTGAATTTGAAATTTTTATAAAATATGAGGACTATCTTGCAAAATTTAAAAAATTAATAATAAACAATCTAACAATTGCATGATATAGAGTGAAAGAGTAATTTCAAATTCTTTATTTTTTAGTGTCATTTTTTAAATTTAACTTGAATAAAATACTTTATAAATTTACATAATTTTAACAATTCTTTATATTTTGTTTATCCAAACAATAAATTTTGGTCAAGTCATTTTAAATTTTCTCAAAAAAATTATTTTTTTCATTAAAATATTTCATCCAAACACACTCTTAAAGTATCAATTGGTAAATCATTTTTTAAAGTATCAATTGGTAAATCATTTAGAGTATGCTAGCAACATGAATTTGATTATGTCTCAATTCTATAAGGAAGGAATTGATTGTGCGGACATTTTAGCAAATGTATGTCTCTCCCTCCCTTGCTTCCACTATTAGTCTATCATACCTAGTTTCATTAGAAGTTCTATTGTCAAAAACAAGTTGAAAATGCCTAAATTTAAATTCAAGTTTCATTAGAAGTTCTATTGTCAAAAACAGGTTGAAAATGCCTAAATTTAAATTCAAGTTTCATTAGAGGGTTTGATTCTTGTCCTCCTCTTTCTTTATTTGTCCTCTTTCTTTTAATATATTTTGGGCGTGCCACTTGTTTTAAAAAAAATTAAATATATAGTAAATGAAACTAAAATCTGAACGCAAACTAGAATACTAACTTTTCACTATTCAATTTCCAATGTTACTAACAAATTTGATCAACAATTCATACTGCAAAACTTGATCTTAAATGGATATATATTTTTGTTTCTTTACTTGAATACTCTATGAGCTGCATGGGATTGGACCAGTCATAGGTATCGTGTATATGTATAAAGTCTCACTCATCACCTTTGCTAAACAACATGTGAGTGTGAATCAATTTGATGAGGATGAACCTGCAAACACTCATCATTAAAAGAAGGGAAAAAAATGAGAAACACTTATTTGAGAGAAAGAACAAAGGTATTAAATTTCAATGGTTACCTGTTGATTTCTTTCCTCAATAAAGCTAGTAGTTTTGACCTTCAACTCCCCTCTGTTAGTGGTTAACTCGTCTAGTATTTCAGCACTATCTATGTCTGTTGATTCAACTTTAGGTGATTCAACCTCCTGTTACAAAGTAAAAAACCTCTTTATATTCTAGATTAATGTGTAGAACATAATTGAGATGAAAAACATAATCGAAAAATATTTGGTTTGGTTTCCGTGTTGTCACAATCTCACGCATTCATGTAGTCAGTACATTAGTAGTCTTTTTGTCGAGATCAGACAGTGCAGAAAACAAACAAATTTTGATTTTTTTAACTCCAAAATATGAGCTTCAAAACTAAACCGTCTTATCTCAATCCAACGACCACCAATGCGTTGACAGCATGGAACACATTGTAGAAAGCAAATGAATTTTAAAATTTACACCGCACAATATTGATTTAACGGCCACCGATGTGATCGCTGTGTGAATGCATGGAATTGCGACTACAAAAATCATAAAATTAAGCTTAACATACCTTTAAGGATAAACTGTGACTTAGTTTTGGAGCACCAGGAATTTCTTCATATTCAGCTGCATCTAGTTCCTTAAGATGGTTTGGACTGAAGAACTTGGGGAGTATATGTTGTCTCAATATGATCAACAAAAAAAATGGCAAAGGGAACAACATTCCAGCAATTGGAATCCATGTCACTCCAAAACAAATTAAGAAATACAGACATTGGATGAGTGTAAACAATACTATATTTTTGAAAGGTACCGACTCAACAAAGGAAGCATGATCACCTTCCAGTAACCTGCAAGGATAGATTGGCTTTAGAAACATAATTCAATGATAATGAACACTTCAAATTGAAGATGTGTTTTTGTCCGACATTGTCAGTGTATGTATCGGTACTTCATGAGACATGAAGTATAGAAGTTTCGCAATCATGTTAAAATGGTGAAATCGAAGTAACTTGCACTTACTTGTACCACCTACTAGGTCTTACAAAAAGAAGTAGTATCCTTTCCCAAAATTGATTTCCTGGAAGACTATCGATAGCCATATACGCAAAGTATCCCCACAAAACTGAAGTTGGGATCATTTTTATGCCCGGGATAGCAAACACTGCTGCTCCTACAAAGAGTGATTGTAAAAGGTTGCTCACTCTTTGTTCCTTTACTCTTACAGGCAAATATGTATCAATGTGTTTCTCAGGATCAAATGTGCTCTTTTTGTTTTCTCCTTTATCTTCACCATTTAGGACAAACTCCTTCAAATCCTCTAGTTCTTTTACCACTGACTGTTTCTGCAAACAACCAAGTTCAGGAACAATTAGTAATTTAGTTGTTATTTGTGTTGTGTCAGCAGGTTCGGAGCCACAGTCTTATGAGGATAGGGACAAGACAAAGATATAATATGATGAACTAATTATAACAAAAATATATACCAATTGTCAACTTATGCTTACATTAGGATTATTATCCATTTCTATAAACACTGCTTGCATCTTTCCATATATTTCAGAGTTGCTAGCTTCCTGCCTAATGCTTTCCTTGGCACTTTTAACCATCTTTCTTCGGATCAACTACCATTCAAAGATCAACAAATCGTCATATTTAGCATAAAATTCAATCTTGATACTTACTCAACCAAATTCCAATACTCATTTAGTTACCTGTTTCTTGAGAACAGACAGACTCTTAGTGTGCATAGGGGATTGAGGTAGAACTCCATTTGAAGGAGGCAAGCCAATTAGTCCACAAAGCAAAGTCTGAAATTTTGATTTAACGAAAATCCTTAGTACTGTTGGGATCATTAACGCGAGTAACGATTTTTAGTATTATTTGGAATGGAACTCGGTAACCTACGGTTTACAACACTCACACACCCTACACACCAATCGCCTACTCTAGACCCCGACTGTAACGAAGTGTCAATTAAACAACTCTATACAAGAGAGATGTGTGTATATATACCATGAATCCTAGCAACAATATGTCATAGTGATATGCAGAAGGTTTCCTGAGATTGAATTCCTTTTGTTGTGCCAATTGGGATGCAACACTATGGTCAAAGAAGTAAAGCCCTGCTATCATTATGGCAGGAACAAAAGCTTGAAAAATGTGTGTTGGAGAAACCTTGCCCATATCCTGCAGTAGAGATTATGTCATCAAATCCCAAAACTACTAAAAGCAAGAAATGGTGTAAATTGACTTCATGCAAGATGGTTTTACTTTGATTACTGTCCAGTGATGTAACGACGCAGATTCCCAAGCCAAAGGTGCAATGAGTCTTCTTGGGACACCAGAAGGTACTTTACTTGATACTACTGTGAATGATAAAGCTGTCCACACCACTACCATGAAAGGAACTCCATAGTCTGCAATCAAACCTCTTAACATTTCTGCTCCATAAACAAATAAAGTCAGATTCTAAACTCCAACAAACCTGTTACATATTATTTAATCGTAATTTACTCGACAAACCTGTTCCGTATAACCACGACCTTGCTCTTCTGCTTTTTAAAGAAGTATAGAGAAGGCCGAAAGTGAATATAACACCAAGCAATCCATTTGCATACAACCAATGAAATTGGAACTTATCCAATGTTGGATTCCCTTCTTTCGGAACTTGAAACTCAGTTACCATTCCCTAAACATAAAATACAATTATAACTTGCATCAAAGTCTTTTTCTCATGTGTTACGCCAAATTCAATTTTCACTTGATAGTTGATACTTCAAACCAAACCAATATATCAGAAAACTAACCTTGATAGCCTCTTGAATGAATAAGACTGCAATCAACATGCCAAAAACCTCACCAGCAATCCTTGTAAATCTATTGATGATATTGCCAGCATTGAATATTGCTAAAAGAAACAGCAGTAGAGCACTCCATACACAAACCCTGAAAAGTTATGAACATCCATTAGTCAATGCGACATCACAAACTTCTCATCTGTTTGAATTTGAATTGACTTATTTGAATTTATCTACTAGCATAAGCACATAAAAGAGCTTGTAAAAACAACCGACGAAAACAATATATAAAAAATACTTTAACATAATTAAGTTGTTTGTTCAAAGAGGAAAAAATGTTTATCTTACCATCCTACCCAAGCCAAATAGAGTTCTCGTCCCAAACCCTCCGTATTTTTGGCATAATTGTACAAATATGTATACATAAGAATAGTGGGTTCTGCAACTCCTAGAACTAGTAGAGGCTGTCCACCAAAAATAGAGTGTATGATTCCACAAATTGCTGTAGAAGCCAATGTTTCTACAACACTCAAGCTTCCATCTGCATACAAACAAGAGCATAATCAGAGTCATTCTTCACCATATAATACAATCATACAAAATGATCAAGAAAGAATCAAGAAGATGATGAACCAACCAACCTGTGTCTCTACTGAGCTGCGCGCCGAAAGCAATAACAGGTAGAGCAGAAGCAAAGAAAATATAGGTGGTTGGTGCCAATATCCTGTAATATCATATTACCATATTGTATAACAATTACTACAAACACAAACAAATGTACTCATACACATAGTTCTAAACTGCCGTTTGCAACTGTAATTGCAACCGCATCGACTGCATCCAAATAGTATACCCTAAATTCACAGAGTCATTTTATCAGTAATTTAAAACACAATCACATGCATGTAACGAAACTAACCCAGTTCCTGAAGTGAAACCAGAAATCCAATCATCTTTATAGTGCAATGCTCTTCCCTTAAAATCATCAACAATACCCTTGAAAGGTGTTCTCAAGCTCTCCATCTCTGCACATGAATAGAAAGAGTCATCATCAAAAAAATACTAGTGTACTAGTTTCACACGTTCAAATAACATAAACAAAAAATACTACAAAATCAGTGTCTTTAACATGCAATTCAATGCAATGATATGAAGAAACAAACCATAGTTTCTATACCATAAATTCCTAGAACAATGACGCCGTGAAAAAAAAAAAATCAGTTACAGTAGGTAGCACCGAACCTAGCGGAGATATTGTTGTAGCCGTAGCCAAAGAACGTTACAGGTTATATTTGAAGAGAATTAGGTAAATGTGTTAAAGTGTATTTTTATGGACCTCTTTTTCTATATTTAAAATAAATTAGATTTTTTTTTATTTGTAAAATTAATTTTATAAATTAAACATAATAATTTTGAAGAAGTTTAATGAAAATGCAGTGATAGTGTAAAAACTTAATTTAGATATTTATCATTATGTAATGTCAATCAAATAATTTAAAACTTTGAGTTTAAAATATAGTCAAAGTCAAATAACTTTTAAAAAATTATCTTTAAAAAATTATGAAAAAGTTATTGAAAATAACTTTAAATTAAGTAAAGTTTTTAAATTTTAATATACAAAAAGTTATATTAATTAATAAATATCTAAAGTAATATTTTTTAAAAATTATTTATATCAAATTTCCATTTTAATTTTTCATAAAAAAATTCTCAACAGAAATGTGTAAAATTATAAAAATAGTTTTAAAAAAAAAACTGAAATAAACCAACCTTATATTAACACGTGTGTATTAATTAATTTTTTTATAGATGTGGATTCAATTGAGACCAGATGTAAGTCTAAAAGTCTTATACTAAATCTCAATTATTAGTTGAAATAAACTAAATGATCATATAAGTAGTCTATTATTTAGAAAAAAGAAATGGTTATATATTTTTATTATTATTTTATTTCATTTAATATGCCAGTTTGATTCAATCCTATTAACAGTCGATATTTGAATGAAAATGAATTAGATGAAGTGCAAAATGATATGGATTTTTTTGCAGAAATCTTAGGACAACATTGGAGATATAAGTATGAATGAAGATGAGGATCTGATTTAATCTAGCTTGGAGTCCACGTCATCTTACAATGATGGTTTTCACTTGGTGGTATCTAGATCTAATAGAAGAGTTCAGAGGAATTCCCATAGAGGTTGCTACAACACCAAAGTCAAATCCGTACCTTAAAACTTTCTTCATGAAATGTTTATTTTGGAATGTGAGAAGGTTGGTCAACTCTCCTTCAAATTGCCCTTCAAGAGATTGATAATTTATAATAGACCTAATTTAGTGTTTGTAGTAGAGCCTTTGATAGATTTTTGAAATTTTTCAAAAAGATGGCTCGTTAACCTAAATTTGAAGTCGTTTGCTTGTAATGACAGATCACCTTTATTATCTAGCCTCTGGTGCTTTTGCAATTTAGACCTGAACCTTGAGGTCTTGTTTGATGATGACCACAAAGTTTATTTCTTGCTCAAAGACAATGATAACGTGTTTGATATGTCTGTGATTTATGTTTCAACTAGTTATGTTGATAGAAGACAACTAGGATTTTCTTTATCATAATTAATTTTTCAACTGTTGGAACAAAGAAGAACTCAATTGGGTTAACAATGGTGGAAATTGAATTTATGGGTTTGAAATTGAGAGAGAAATAATATATATATATATATATATATATATATATATATATATATATATATATATATATATATATATATATATATATATATATATATATATATATATATATATATATATATATATATATATATATATATATATATATATATATATATATATATATATATATATATATATATATATATATATATAGAAAGAGAGAGAGAGAGGGTGAGAATTATATTTTTCATTAACCACGAATGGGAGCACAAAAGGCTATTTATACAACATGTACAAAAATAATTGAGAAAATACAAAACAGCTTAAAAAATAAGTTACAACACAAAAAACGCTCAACGTAACCGGTTACCGTATTTGGGGTAACCAGTTACCACAAACTCTCCAAGCTACTGACTCTATGTGAACGGGGAGTAACCGTTTACCACAAAATCTCCAAGCTACTGACTCTACGTGAACAGGGAGTAACTGGTTACCACATATCTGGTAACCAGTTACACCAACTAAAATCACAGAAAAATTGTTTTCTAACACACCACACCATTTCAATTGGTACAGTCCACCATGTTCAAGCTCATCTTCAACCTCTAGAACACTTTATTTGTTACTCCCTTAGTCAACAAATCCTCCACTTGGTCTTCTCTTTGATAATATCCCAATCTTAGTTTGTCTTCACTCACTAGCTCCCTCAAATAATGAAATCGCATTTCTATATGTTTTCTTCTTTCATGTACAATCGGATACTTCATAAGGTTTATCACATAAACATTATCAACAAGAAGTGTGGTAGCCACACCCTCATTGCTACCCAACTCTTTCAATATATTCATGAGCTACATAGCTTGACACACACATAATGATGCCGCAATATACTCGGCCTCACAAGACGAGAGTGCTACCACTGATTCCTTCTTCGAACACCAAGAGATTGGTGTCCTATCAAACATAAAGATGTATCCAGCCGTCGACTTTCTATCATCCTTATCTCCACACCAATTGGAATCAGTGAAACCAAGTAAATCGCATTTTTGTAGCCAAGAGTTCCTTTAACATATCTAAGGATCCTTTTGACCACTACCAAGTCCGGTCGCGTATTGCACAAATACCGCAACGATCCAATCAATCTCTTATATTGCATTGGATCCACATCTTGCTCATCCTCGCTCTTGGACAACTGCAACCTTGGTTCACATGGTATAATGGCCGCATTACAATGCTCTATTTCACACCTCTTCAAAATTTCAAGAGCATGTCTTCTTTGGTGCATGAGCAGTCCTATTTTTGACTTGTGGAACTATATGCCAAAGAAATATGTCATGATACCAAGATTCATCGTCTCAAATTCATCCATAAGTTCACTCTTGAACTTGGAAATACTATTCTCACAGTTGCCAACAATTAATAGATCATCAACATACAAGCAAAGAATGAGCACGCCATCATTCGCATCCGTTTTTACATACACTCCGTGTTCAGACACACACCGCTTGAAACCAATATCAATTAGAAATCCATCAATGTGTTTGTTTCAAGCTCTTGGAACTTGTTTCAAACTATATAATGCTTTATGCAATTTGCACAACTTTAATTCTTGATTCTTCACTACAAATCAGGGTGGCTGCTCAACATAAACCTTCTCATCAAGTGGATCGTTCAAAAACGCAAATTTGACGTCCATTTGATATATCACCCAATCGTTGTTATTCACAATGCCAATATCTAATAGGATGGTTTTGAGTCTAGCCACATGTGCAAACACCTTCTCAAAGTCTATACCTTCACGTTGCAAAAATCCATTTGCTACTTGCTGCTGTAGCTAAACACCTATGCTCCATAACTTTCAGCTCCACCTTGAAAGTTCTATTGGCAGCCATAGAAGCCTTAAGGATCAAAACACTGTTTGCATCCACAATGCACAAAACCTTGTCTTCCATGCGAATTTTGTAACCCCTCTCAAGAAATTGGCCAATACTCAAGAGGTTACATTTAATTCCCATAATGTACAAGACATATTTGATCGTAGAATTTCCATCATTCTTCTTTTTTATCAAAACATCACTAACACATCCGGCCACAAGAGTGGTATCATCAATGAATTTTACTCTACTTTTTTGTGGCTTAATTGATTTGCACAAAATCCTTCCTCCCCGTCATATGCGTTGAACAATATGAGTCCAAGTACCACTCCTTAATGTATTGGATTCCATCTCGTATCGTAACTATGACGTTCCCATTTTCGCACTTTTCTATAGAATTTTTAGCAACTCTGCTACATTTTTCTGTAGAATTTCCAGCACTTTCAGCACCTCTACCATTGCTACAATCTCCTTGTGTGATCCTCACTAAGAGTGCATTTTCCTTGTCTACCTCTTGTCTTGCAACCTTAGCTTCATGTCCTTGGGAATCCCTCTGTTTTGCACTACATTCCCTTGAGAAATGTCCATGTTTTTGACAATGCCAACACTGAATTTTACTCTTATCAATCTTTGATTTTCCGCTTCTACCGTTGCTTTGGTCACCATATCTATTGCAGCTGCTCTTACCCTTTCCCTCCACCGAAACCTTAGAACTTTGTGGATCTTTTCCACCCACATCCTGGAAATTTTTCTTCCCTCTTGAATCCCATTTTCCTTTCAATCTTTTACTCTTCTCATTGAATCGAGCTTGCAAAGCGATCTCCTTCTTTGCCTTGTTGCTATTTCTCTCATCCATCTGTTGCTCATGAGCCTTAAGAGATCCTTGTAGCTCCTCTTTACTCATCGTCGCAAGGTCCTTCGATTCCTCAATCGCCACTACATTATTGTCGAATCTTGGTGTTAACAAATGCAAAATCTTTGAAACAACATTCCGCTGCGTTGTCATTTCTCTACGTGACTTAATTTGGTTTACCAAACGAGTAATTCTTGTAAAATAATCATTTATCGTCTCCTTCTCCTCCATTTGAAGTAGTTCGAATTGACGTTTGTAAATTTGTAACCTCACAACCTTGGCTTTGCCAGCCCATGCATAAGCCTTTTCCAAGATCTCCCAAGCTTGGTTTGCCAAATCGCAATCGCAACTTTTTTGAAGTTGTCACCATCGACACAAGAATGAATCAAGAAGAGTGCCTTATATTCTTTCTTCTTCTATTTCTTGAATGTAGCCTTCTGAGCATCTATAGCTTCTGCCCCAAGTGGTGTAACTCCATTGTTGATCACTTTGAGAACTTTTTGATACCTAAACAGAACTTTCATTTGTTTGGACCACTTGTCATAATTCTTCTAATCAAGAATCAATAGGTTGGTGGATACTCTATCGTTGGAAACGATATTCATTGTTGTAGCGGATTAATGGATCAT